ACGCCGCAAAGATGAAATCAAGGATATTCTAGTATCATTTGAGTGAGCTTCAAAAGCATGAGCATCCAGTTGGAAGTTGTTTCAACTCATCCGAGCCAATGGAAGCAAGAATAGTGTCAGGAGATGGTTTGTAGGACAAATGTTATGTTGACCAGCAACGTAGGTAGGTGAGAAAGTTTTGTGGGCCAACAGCTGCAGCATCTAAAATCACCGACTACAGTGCTTCATGGTCGGTCATTACCGCCACACCAAACTTTTTCTCGGCTCCTCTTAATAGTGGTGATGAGACTCCAGTCAGGAAACTGACCGTATTATCCAGGAAAATGTGGGAGAGCGAGAATGTCTCATCAATGTGGAATGAAGCTATCATCGTGCTTGTCTTTACAAAGAGTGTACGCAAAGTACGTGATAACCAAGCGCTTTCTTTCTAGTCACCAGGAGCTTAGAGTTTAGTATGTTTTCGTCTGAAACGCTGTCTGCATGGTACTTTGATGTGTTTTTAATATATAAATCTGTGGGCTGAGTTAATAAATGGTTCCATCTAATAGCTATCTGGTGGCTTGCTAGGCTGATAATGGTAATTTTGGTGTCAGTCAACCAGATGAAGCTGTGCAAATAAGGAGTTTTTAAAATAAGTAACAGTCTCAGATTTAGAGTACATTGTGAAAGTTGGATGAATGTTCCCGATTAAATCAAATCTGTTGTTGAGTATAGTAATATCACTTGTAAGCTTCTGTTTATAAATGTCAAATTAAGCATTTCATTAGTTCTGTTGACCCAATATCCGGTTGCCTAAGTAATGTGTATAGCAACTATTGTTTCAAATGAATGTTTTGGCAGTATTGTGATTTCATAATATCATGAACGTAATCCATTCTTATTCTGCAAATGTGTGTGCCGTTACTTTCACGAATGTATTCCGACTTCTGACTGGCGGTTGGATGATTGACATCAAAATACAAGTGAACACTCTAGTGGTTAATAAATTGATGTGATTTGCTAGGTAGTTAGTCTTAAAAGCTTAATATAGATGATATTGACATATAGAACACACTGAGGTAATGCTTATGGTTTCTAGGATACATACAGTTAGCTTTAAATAAATGTGTCCCGCAAACATCGAAGCGAAAAGTTAGTTTATAACTTGAAGGGCGACCGAAAGCTGCTACCTTGACGTGGTGGTCGGGCTTGAACACCGCAATGACCTAATCAAGCTATACTGGCTGAGACTTATGTCTCTTGAGGTTCTACCATGCCAGGCAGGTTGTTTGGATAGCGGTTAAACAAAAAGCAGCTACCCAATCCAACATCATGTCCAATACAAAATTACAAAATTTCATGCCGGATCGGCCGTGGCCCGGATTAACAACGACCGCGCTTCCTGCTGCCGTGTCACAGGGCGGGAGTGATAAATCTGCTACTGAGACACACCAAACAAAAAAGAACGAACAAAAACAGGCCGCGTGTGACCGGCCTCAAGCAGTTGTCCCCTGGGCTCTGCGGTCACGCAACCAACTTCCACGGTGTGGGCAGCCGGGAAGTAACAATCGCCCTCACAATCCGAAATGCACACGAAACCTCTCTATTACTCACTCATCTTTGTCTTCATCTTCATCTCTATCATCTTGCCTTCCTTCCACTGATGCAACTCCTCGACTTGATAGCTCTCCACTTCCTCTCCACTCTGCGTCCACTAAAAACGATGGAAGCCAAAAAACCACCACCGACAGCCTCTTAAAGCCGCGCCACCAATTTCATATAGGAGCTCTTAATGTTAGGACACTTTGCCAAATAGGACAACAAGCATCACTAGCCAAGACCCTGGCATCACGAGCCATTGATGTATGCTGTGTTTCAGAAACACGCATACAAGACCCAAGTGTGGTTATTCACCTAACCCCACCTGGCCAACAGGTTGAATCTGCAAAATTCACCTTGAGGGTGTCAGGAGATGCCACAGCTAGTTCACGAGGATTAGCTGGCGTAGGGATAGCTTTGAGTACTAGGGCAGAAAAGACATTGCTTGACTGGATCCCGGTAGATAGCCGAATGTGTGCTGTCCGCCTGAACGGATCAGTAAGAAGGAGGAAGGACTGCACTACTCGCCGATGCCTTTTCGTAATCTCCGCCTACGCCCCCACTGACTGCAGTTCAGATGAAACGAAGGATGAGTTCTACCAAAAGCTGTCTAGTTTGGTGGAAAGGCTAAACGCTCAGACATAGTCGTTCTAGCTGGTGACTTTAACGCTCAAGTAGGGAAATTGTGTCAATCTGAGAAGGATGTCGGTGGCACCTATGGAGCTCCGTGCCAGCGAACCGACAACGGTGACCGTCTCCTACAGTTCTGCTCTGATAATCATTTGTTTCTTGTAAGCACTAACTTTAAACACAAGGAGAGACACTGTTTGACTTGGAGACCCCCTTCATCAAACCAACGCTGGACACAAATAGACCACATAGCAATAAGCTATCGTTGGCGTGGGTCGGTAGGAGATTGTCGCTCCTTCTGGAACACGTGCGTAGATACCGACCATGCACTGGTCCGCGCTCGGGTGTGCTTACGACTGAACGGACGTAGGAAACAGCTGGCGGTAAAACCATCACGTCCCCAGCTCGATCAGGAAACTAAATCCGTATTTGAGGAAGAACTAGCTAAACACATATCTGTGTTCGACAGCTGTGCTCACCCTGAAGAAGCTTGGAAAAATATCCAGGCAGCCATAGATACAGCTGTAAAAGCTGTGAATAAGGTAAACCCAAAGGTGAGTAAAAACCACTGGATCTCCACCGCCTCATCCGAACTGATAGATGCTAGAAGACTTATTCCGGCGAGCTCCGAATTCAATGAGGAGCGAAAGCTGCACAAGAGGAAACTTACGAAAAGTCTCCGCAAGGACCGTGAACAGTGGTGGGCGACAAAAGCCAAAGAGATGGAGAAAGCTTTGAGGATAGGCAACACCAGGCAACTCTTTGGACTCATCAGGGAAACGGGTGGGAGAAGACAAATCATTAGTGAGACAATCTCGGAAAAAAATGGCACTATAATTAGCTCCAGGATAGACGACTGGATCGTTGGAAAGAGCATTATGAGGAGCAGTTTAATTTGCCCACAGCCACGCTCAACCTTCCGAGCATCCAACACCTCCCTGAATGGGATATAAACACAGGTCCTCCGTCACTAACTGAGGTTACTAAAGCTGTCACCAATCTGAAACTAGGCAAAGCAGCGGGACCTGATGGAATGACTCCAGAGGTATTTAAGTACGGTGGAGACAGCTTACTGTCCGGATTAACTGAGGTACTAGGCAGCGTCTGGGAATCAGAAGAAGTCCCATCGGGTTGGTGTAAGTCACTGATTATCCCCATATACAAGAAGGGAGACAAGTCTTCCTGTGATAATCACAGAGGGATTAGCTTGACTAATATAGTATCTAAAGTCTTAGGCTCAATAATCATGCGTAGACTGAGTGGTGCTCGGGAAGCACAAACACGAGAGAGCCAGGCAGGCTTTAGACCAGGAAGAGGGTGTATTGATCATATCTTCACCCTCCGACAGATTCTAGAACATAGGCATTCCTACCGGCGTCCAACAGTCATTATATTTCTTGACCTAAAGGCAGCATTCGACTCTGTCGATCGGGAAGTTCTCTGGAGATGCTTGGCTGTAAAGGGAATTCCGAGAAAATATATTGCACTGATTAAGGCACTCTACTCGTACTCATACAGCCAGGTGAGGGCTTACGGCGAGCTGTCATCTGAACTGATGACGACCAGTGGTGTCCGTCAAGGATGCCCATTATCTCCTTTTCTATTCAACTTCATCATAGATGTGTTAATGGACTTAACCCTAGGTGACTTCAGCGACTCAGGGATTGACTTGCTACCGGGAATAATCTCGTTGACTTGGAATATGCAGACGATATAGTCCTTCTAGGCGAAGACGCTGACGAAATGCAGAGTCTTCTAAACACCTTGAGCCGCAATCTACGAATGTTTGGCATGCGATTCGCTCCCGCCAAATGCAAGATGATGTTACAGGACTGGACTACATCGACGCCTAGTTTAAAAATAGGAAGTGAAGTGGTAGAGCACGTTGACCGCTTCACTTATTTGGGAAGTACCATCAGCCCCAACGGGCTGATCTCTGACGAAATCTCAGCACGAATACAAGGGGCTCGTTTCGCATTTGTTAGTTTACGCCGACTCTGGCGTAGACGAGATGTTCGACTATCGACCAAAGGGCGGGTGTACTGCTCATCAGTCCGCTCCGTCCTCCTTTATGGTTGTGAGACCTGGCCACTGAGAGTGGAAGACATGAAAAGACTAGCTGTCTTTGATCATAGGTGCCTGCGTTCTATTTCCCGTGTAAAGTGGCATAATAAGGTGAGCAACATGGAGGTTAGGCGTAGAGTTCTAGGTAAACAGGGGAAATCAATCGACGAAGTCGTGAAGCTACAAAGACTGAGATGGTTAGGACATGTGTTACGTATGCCAAGCCATCGCCTCCCTCGACGAGCAATGTTAGCGGATATAGGGTCAGGCTGGAAAAAAGCTAGCGGCGGTCAAACAAAAACTTGGCATCAGTCAATGAAATCCACAACAGTTGGTCTAAGCCACGTAGAAAGGTGTAGACTTCCAGGCTGGGGTCCTCGGGACGGTAAAAATCTATGGTTGGAAACAATTGGTGACATGGCTCAAAATCGTTCTCAGTGGCGCAGATGCATCCACTCCCTGTGACTTATGATCTTCAATGAAACTGTTTTGTATTTCTTTATTACTCCTTTGTCTCACACCTCTGCTCACTGTTTCTATTATGCTTTTCTTGTACTTTCTTCTCTTGCTTCGCGTGCTACACGGAATGTGGCGACTTGAACTTCCGCACATTTGTGCAAAGTTCTATGTCGAAAACAGACAGAAGGGCGATTAAATGTGTAATAGCTCATGATATTTTTTGGCAAAATAATTGCTTGACTTCCACTTAATTTTTCATTTTTTTGTAGATGGCAGAACGACTATGGATACTACCTTTCAAAGTGGCAATGTCTGTCACCTTTTTCAGTGTTCTCTTCAATATCCTCAGTGACTGTGATGAAACGTATAATTACTGGGAACCGTTGCACTTTATCTCAACATGGGGCAACGGCAGTGGGTTTCAAACTTGGGAATACTCACCTTCATTCGCACTTAGATCATACTTATATCTCTGGCTTTCTGGCTGGCCTTCTTTCCTATCATTCTTATTGGGTCTCCCAAACTGGTTCGCGTTTCTTTCAGTCAGAATTCTATTGGGTATGCTGTCAACCATATCCACCACTCTGTTATCTGTAACTGTAGCAAATTATATTTCTGAAGGTGATCTTATTCGAATGAAGGGTTTAGATGTAACTAAAAAGCGAATTCTTTTTTCATTTCTTTTTTCACTTTGTTATTGTGTGTCCCCAGGCTACTTCTTGGCGTCCACAACGCTTCTGCCAAGTGGGCCGTCGAGCTCCTTAACCGCGCTAATGTTAGCATTTTGGCTGAGACGCCAATACTTTTGGGCTGTTGGGTGCGTTGCGATTACTGGGCTTGTTGTTTGGCCCTTCGCTGCCATCTTGGGACTTCCCTTAGCTGTGTATATGATTATTGATAAAAAGTTAAATTATCTGGTTAAGTCATCTATTCTGTGGGCTCTTTTCCTCATTCCTCCTCTTGTTATTGTCGACTCATTTTATTTTGGTCGCTTTGTGCTAGCACCCTTGAATATTATCCGGTATAATTTATTCTCACATAATAAGCAGGGAAGTGGAAGCGCATCACAGTTATATGGAGTAGAACCGTCGTCTTTTTACATAAAGAACTATATCTTAAATCAGAATTTAATGTGTATTTTTGCTTTGTTATTATCATTGCTCACCATTTTTAAACTTGTCTTGTGGTTACTTCCTACTAAGAAGTCGGTTAAAACTTGTAATGATAAGAATCAAACTTCGATATCTGAGGTCTCTTTGATTGTATGTATGTCTTTGTTGCTTTGGAATTGTATATTTTTTTTGCAGGCCCACAAAGAGGAAAGGTTTTTGTTTCCTTGTTATCATCTTATTGCAATTGCCTCAACAATTTTTATATTAGAAGTTCTTCCAGTTTTTCAATGCAAACGCATAAACATTAGTTTCCCTATAATCATTTTATGTTCACTCATCTTACTAATAAGTGTTTCGCGCATTTCCACACTTATACGCTGGTATAGTTCTCCAATGCATTTGGTTAAACATCTTCCCGTCGTACCGTTACAGTCTCACAAACCTATGTTATGTATGGGGCGTGACTGGCATCTATTTCCTAGCAGATATTTTCTCCCAGGAGGGGCTGAACGATGGGATGTGGGGTTCGTGCAGTGCAATTTCTCGGGTCAGCTACCCGGGCAATTTGTTCAACCTGCTCCAAGTAGCGTAGTATGGAGTTCTACTCGGACTGACGGGAATCATTTCAATTCTGAGAACCTCGAGGAACCAGACAGATTCATTAGTAATGAGACTTTCAAATGTAGTTTCATGTTTGATCGAGATTCACCTATTGCTGAACGTGAGAGACTGTATATATCAGACGTAAAAACTTGGTATTCTTATGTCAACCAAAGTATTAATGAGCCCACACGATGCGTTTTGGACCTTAACTTTCTCAATATAAGCTCAGTCTTGGACTGTAGATTTTTGAGAACATTTTATATTCCGATTCTTTCTGAAAAAACAAAACCTGATGTTGCCCTGCATATACTTGCTCGTTTTGGCAACGGTTTTGTATAACTCATATGTGTTTGACTAGTCCACACTTGCTTTGTAAAATTTTTCTGTGTGTTTATATGTACAAGGAGTTGTACACAATGTGTTTCTGTTTTATGGTTCGATTATTTGTCACGTAAATTGGATATCAGCTGAAATCTTATATGTACTCATTTTTTTAATACAAGTGTGTGACTGAAGCTAAAGTCAGCTTGCATAAAACTGCAACTCAATGATTGTACTAAAATATTCGAATATGCAGTTAATTTAATACTAAACCACTTTTGAAAATAGATATTTTGGGAGTATTACTCAAGTAACTCACGTATATTCTCCTACGAGTACTTCGATTCTTTATAATGAACAATAAGTTGACCAAAGAAAGGACGTCAAGAAAACTCTGACAAAGAAACTAAGGATTACATTCGACAGAATATCGTAAGCAATACAAGTTTGAAAGGATATGTAGACCTATACTCATTCAGAACGGGAAAACTCTATTCACTCAATGTTTTTAATTAGCATATAAAGTTGATGAATTTAGATTACGAGTGCGTTGTTCCTATTAGATGCAAGTTGTAGCTTGATTTGTTTTCACATTGAGTCCAGTGTGTTAGTGACATGCAAATATAAAGGGCTACTTTGGATTCGCCATCAAACATTTTCCTCGGCTATTGAAGGTTGACAACTTGAAAAGACTTTCTGTACTTGGATGCTAACATCTATCAGAAGTTCACTTAGAGAGAAATATTTTAGCCCATATATATATATATATATATATATATATATATATATATATATATATATACATTAACTGGCAAGTACTTTGTCTCACTGGTCAGATTGCACAGTTTGAGGGAAGCATACGAAAGTGAGTGGTATTTGCAGAACCAGTTGTTACAAGTATCCACAAAAGATAAATGATAAATAACCAGTTATCAGCTCCCAGTAACCCAATAGTGTTTAGCTATGGCTTACGTGCATGGTTGTTTTATGCTCCGTCATTTGTACTTAGTAGAATCAGTAGTCTGTTATTTATAATTAACCTGCGTATTAGAAAGTGTGAATCTTAGTTCCTAAAATAAAATGAAATATCTCGCAGATAATTAACGCATATTCGTAGACACTAAAGATGGTCAATCACTTTCTTGAAATGGTTCTTTCTTCCCAACAAGTATACATAATATTAGTAAGAGAATGAATGTTGAAATTAGCAACAGCTTTTAGGTATACAAAATTTTCTTGTCGGGACTTATTACCTGTATTCATACTTCCTATCCAAAATCTAAAAGGAAAACGTCACCTCAGTAGTTCATCTAACTGCACTTAAGGTCAGTGGATTCCAAAAAGGGAAATATTTAAACAGTTTCGATCACTCGACTATGTTTAGCTAGCCTCATTGGATTCGTTCACTTCAGATTGCATGCCTTCTGGTTCGCCTTCCTTATCACCGTTGTCGTCGTCGTCGCTCGATGTTTGTCGTTCTTCTTCTTCCTCTAGCACCATGTTATCCTGAAATTCAGAAGATAAAATGTATTGCTTTTAGATAAGACTCGATAACAGTTGACTTATGTAAGTTTGAACAACCGTAACAGGAACTAAAACCCTTCTTTCCAGCGGTAGGTGTTTTATAGGGACGCTACTGCTTAATTGTTGAATGAACACTAAGTGGCTTAAAATTATTTCGAATCCAGCTTGGTTTCACAGACTGCTAAACTAGTTATAGTCGAATAAAAGTACTTCTAGGCATTACTGTTTGAAGATTCAAAAGAGTTTTGCTCATAGCACAACGGTCGTCAGTAAAGACACACGATAAAGTTGTTTATTTGCACAAAGATACTACAAGTCCTAACATTATTGCATGTAGTCTCAATAAATTACCTATTTGTTGATGCATATGGGCTCCTCTTGTTAATTTGAGGATTGATGATGCTTATTGTTTTATCTTGGAAATCCATGGTTTCCGTCTGTTGAAGGACTGGGTGTTGTTTATTGAACGGATGGATAACTGCTGCTAGATATTGTAGCTTAGCCTACACTACATATTGTCTTATTAAGACATCACCTTTCCTCTATTTTGTTCAATTGTGAAATTCTATGCAGCAAATGTGTATATTCATGAACATAAGAGAGAACTGAATCAAGGAGATGCTGATTAAAATTAAAGCTCGTAAGAAAAAGAGATAAACGCAGACATAGCATGTTCATGGACTAACAGTTAGTCGCTTCATGAGTAAATGTCCTGTCCTCGTCCAACCTCTCCCTTCTTCAGATATTATTCTGTACAGAAATAACTGCTTCACTATCTACTCCGTTTGAAGTTAATTTACAACACCAACTAGATTCTTGCAGTACTTTGCATTTAATGACACTGCTAACCACTACGCGAAGACACTTAAGGAAGGAAACTTCTGGTGTGAGAAAAATGTAGTCAGCACACTCACAATGGTCGGAATTTATAAGTAACAGTTGTCGATTTCATTTTCCGTAAATAAATGCCTTGGGGAGTATCGATACTTTGTGATTTCTAAAATGAGATTCTATGTGATACCTGTTTGTCATCCGGGAAAGAAGTTGAATCTACAGCAGTTCTTTCTTTCAGTTCGCGTTCCTTACGTTTGCGTTCAATCGTTTCAAAGAAGAAGTCCTCTGTAGTCCGGATAAGTCCTTCAGTTTCTTTTGTGTCCAAATCATCTTCGGTATCAACAGCTGCTTCATCCTATGTTCGTAAAGCAATAAATGTTATAAAAGCGTTCACTGTAAGAAAAACAAACCGTTAGTTATATAGTGAAAGCAGTTCTACCTATACCTCACCGGACCAATGACACATTTTTATGTCATTAACATGTAGCATCAAAGGAGTTCCGCATATTTCCAAATGATAATATACAGTTAATGGTACTGGTTAGTTCCAGTCACTGTTATCATGGATACATATACTGGAGGTAACATTTAATTGCATACATATGGATTAAATTCCATTTCTTTTACATTGAAGAAATGACTGAGTTGTTGTCTCTGAAAATTACTCCTGTCTCGAGGAAAGCATAAATCATCTTACGAAATGATGCCGTTTATACATCTTAGGAAATAAAAGTTACGTTTAGCTGATAACGGTAGTCTTTTATTGTACATACGATCGTTTCACACAACCTGCACTTATTTTGGCAGTCCAAAAGTGACAGACATTTCATTGTCGTTGAAGTTACAGCGTGAAAAGCCAGATTTCATTTGTTGGTTTTATTTACTGAAGTTGTAACAAGTTCTGAAGAGTGCAGTGTACCACATCAGTAACCTAGTTAAATGCGAATTACCGCCCAGTTCTTCGTAAAAAATTGGTTCATTGATGGCCACATTATTTGTTATTTGAGGCCGAGAAGAAGAAGAACCTGATAAACCGATTCATTCGTCAGTATCTGAATTTAACTATTCAATATTATTCGCCTAGTCAGTGTGAGGAGACTAAGAGATAACTATCTTTTTTCTCACTGGAAGACATTTGAGTTTCAGTTGGCATTCCCCATTTCGAGACATGGAAAGCAAATTTAGATTTAGCCTTCTCCACAGGCATACATACAAGCTTTCATTACTCTCAAGTCTGTGTGGAGGTCAACAGCACTCAGCGTCAAAAATAAGATCCGGATTTTCAACTCCAATGTGAGGTCAGTTCTACTATACGGATCAGAGACTTGGCGCATCATAATGAGCACCTCAAATAAACTGCAGGCCTTCATCAACAGCTGCCTTCGCTCAATACTCAAGATCAGATGGTCAGAGAAGATCAGCAACAGGGATCTCCGGGAGCGAACTAACCGGGAACCGATTTTGCAACAAATAAGGAGGAGGAAATGGAGGTGGATTAGTCATACTCTGAGGAAACCATCAAGTGACATCACTAGACAAGCCATCGCTCGGGTGGAACCCAAAAGGGAAGCGGCATGTTGGTCATCTAAGGGTGACTTGGAGGAGGTTATATGAAGAGGAGAGGATAGTGAAACAGAGGATGGATTGATGCACAGATGGACAACAGAAGGGGAAGGCGACTTCAGTGTACGTCGAACTGAATAAAGAAGTGGAGAAGAGTGTTAAGAAAGACAGACAATTCTAAGACACACTAGCAGCTGAAGCAGAGCAGGCCACAGAAGACGTAAGAGACTTCAGAACATTATATTACATAACCAGGTCTCTTTTTGGGAAGAGACAGAGACAGATGAAACGAATAAATAATGGTCAGGGGAACTTATTCACCAAGAAGGAGAGACAAAGAAGATAATGGGCTGATCACTTCAAAGGACTCTTGAGTCGACCATCAGCCGCAAATCGTCCAGAAATACCAACAATAACCACAAGACTTCCAGTGGATACCAGTCCTACAACAGAGCAGAAATCCTAAATGCAATAAAGCTAAGGAAGGCAGCAGGACCGAACAGAATTCCTGCGGAAGCACTGAAGACTGATCCAAAGATCATAGTAGGCATCCTCATGTTACTATTGCAGACGATTTGGAAGGAAGAAAAAGTGCCTACCGATTGGAAGAAAAGCTACGTTGTCAAACTAAGAAGGATGGGCGACTTACGCCCCACTCTGCAAGAACTGGCGTGGGATAGTGCTTTTGTCCACGCGAAGTGAAATACTAAGTCGCATCATCTCAGAGAGAATAAAAGATACACTGGATGCACAACTACGCCCACCACCCGGAACAAGCTGGATTCAGGAAAGGTATATCATGTGCCGGTCAAATCTCAACTCTACGCATCACCATCACAGAACAAAGCATAGGATGGCAGTCAAACCTCCCTCAACCTCAATTTCATCGACTTCGAAAAGGCTTTCGACAGCATGGACCGAGAAGTAATTTGGAAACTGCTTCAACATTACGGCGTGCAATGCCCAAGTCTTTGTCAACCTCATTCAACAACTGGCTATATGACGATGCCACGTGTTAGGTGATCCACAACGGAAGACTTAGCGAAGCGTTCGAAGTGAATATAGGAGTAAGACACGGCTGCCTACTATCACCGATGGTATTCCTAATTTTGGAGGACTGGATCATGCGTCAGAATGTGGGGAGCGAGAAGAGGAATACGCTGAAGCAATAAGACGATCTATATTTCGAGGATTTACTTATGTCTAGTGTCACACAAACTTGGATAATTACAGGTGGAACCAGCAAATTGACAGAAGAAGCATCACAGACAGGGCTTCAAATAAACGTAGAGAAGATGGACGCGATGAAAATAACCAGCTAATAATAACAAACACCAATCACTATCAACGGAAGGAATTTGAAAGAGGTCACTTTCCTCACTTATCTAGGTAGCATCATTGCATCTACAAGCGAAGGGATGGGGATGTGAACACCAGAATCGGAAAGGCAAGACATATCTTCGTCAGTCAGTCTGACACCAGTTTGGAAATATTCTGCACTCAGCATAATGAACAAAATTCGGGTTTTCAACACCAGAAGTTGGGTGCGTCACTAAGAGCATTCCCAACAGGCTGCTGCACACTTTTATCAACAACTGCCTTCCTTTCATACTGAAGATTTGTTGGTAGGTGATCTGCCTACCATGATAATAACGGGTAACGGGGAATCAGGGTTCGATTCCGGAGAGGGAGCCTGAGAAATGGCTACCACATCCAAGGACGGCAGCAGGCGCGAAAATTACTCACTCCCGGCACGGGGAGGTAGTGACGAAAAATACGAATACGGGACTCAATTGAGGCTCCGTAATTCGAATGAGTACAATTTAAATCCCTTAACGAGGACCAATTGGAGGGCAAGTCTGGTGCCAGCAGCCGTGGTAACTCCAGCTCCAAAAGCGTATATTAAAGTTGCTGCAGTTAAAAAGCTCGTAGTTGAACCTGGGTTGTGCGGTCGCATGCCGTTGCTTGTTGAAGAATTTTTGGCCAAAAAGAATTAACAACGAGAAACTCTAGCAACAAACCAACCAAGAACCCTATGGCTCAACAAATATGTTGAAGGGAATGGAGATGGAATGGACACACGCTGAGGAGACCGTAGAATGAAATCGTGTGCAAGGCCCCCTAGTGGAACCTGAATGGGAAGCGAAGAGTTGGGTGTTCGAAGGTGATATGGAGGAGATTGTATGAGGATGAAATGAGAGATTATGAGCAGTCGTGAGACTAGCCAAGAAGAACTGCAGGGAATAAGACAAAGTGGAGATCTTATATTCCACTCGAAACTCAAGGGGATAATATTAATATTATTGATAACACACGTGTACAGTGTTAAATTGAACGATTTTCTGCAAGGGGATGTTCAAGTAATGTAAGCAACTAGCCCCCTATAATGTTGTAAAATAATTTCCTTATACAATCTGATTGATTTGTCTATGTACAATAGTACAGAAAGCCACCATCACATGCGGAAATAGAACTGCAATGACTCATTTGATTATCATAAAGAGTTTGCATATTGTGTTGTAAATTGGGTAGGAATGAAGACACTATTCACTAACTCGTGTACACATCGGCCTAACTCATCATCCTGAAATGATGATACCTGACATGGCTCAGTCCACCATAACAAAATCACTCAGACTTTAAATTGCATCTTGGTCTGATTGTTGCACTTACTATGACTAGGTACTTAACCACCTTATTAAATTCAATTTTACACTCCTACTAGCTGTGAAAATGTTGTTATCTGCAGAGACCTACATTGTTTCTACCTGTGATACACTCAGTGAACACGTCAGAAGTATCGAAGGGGTCGATATACTTTTTCATTCGGGTACCTCTAGAAGTAGCAACCGTCTGTGATTATTCTTCGATTACACAAACGTGTGTGTTGAATGTCTAAAGATAACTGGCAGGAGGCCTTTGACCTACGTTTTGGGCTTGTTGGCGCTCATGCTGATAAAACTGGAAATAAAAAGACTAAGTGTTTTATATAATCAAAGATTTTTGTCATGTAAAACCCCTTCTAATTTATGGAAACTTTTCAAAGAAATTACTAACGGTAAGCGATGTATTTCTGTTCCATCTCTTAATGTTGACACTCTTAATAAATCTTTCATACGCTCTTCTGTTGATACCCTTCCAAATGATACAAATCATATTGACAATAACTTTAGTGGTTTTAATACCCTTGATGTGCTTAAATGTCTCCGGTCTCTTAAGCCTTCTCAAAGCCTTGGTCCTGACGGCATACCTGCCATTGTCCTCAGGAATTGTGCTGATATTTTGTGTTATCCTCTTACTAACATTTTTAATGCCTCTTTTTCCGGTAACGTTCTACCTTTTGCATGGAAAAACATTAAAATTATCCCTATACCAAAACCATCTTCTGGTTCTGATATTAAATTTCGGCCTATTGCAATTACTTCCCCCTTTTTAAAATTGATGGAAAAATTACTTTTACTTCGTCTTGAACCCGCTTTGAAACCTTTTAATGATCCTAAACAATTTGCATACAAACATGGTAGAAGTACCTTGGATGCTGCGGTTGTCTTGTATCACAATGTTGTCTCTTGTTTAGACAAAGGTGCTAAATATGTTCGTAGTGCTTTCTTAGACTACACATCTGCTTTTGACTCTGTACCTAGGGGCCTTTTATTAAATAAGCTATCATTGACACAAACAGGATCCTGGGCTAAGAGTTGGTTGCATTCCTATTTTTCTGATAGAATGCAGTATACTGTATATAACGGCAAATCTTCTTCTACCTCGCTTACAAAATCCGGTGTTCCACAA